ATTCTGGACCACAAAAATGACTAGCAAGAGGAATGTGTTCATAAAGCAGAATGGTCGGCCACCTTAAGAGAATGTGAGCATCTCATCTTAGGGTTATGATAACCTTGTGAAAAGAACTCAAGACTCTGATTTCATTTCTGCAATGAAAAGTGATCCTAAAAAGAAAAAACGTTTTGAGGAAACAGTCTCCTTTCTAACAAGCCCAGCTTTTAAAAGAGTATAGGAAATAAATGTAAAAAAATAAATAAATAACATCTTTAAGGTTTTGTATTAGCTGGAGATTCTTTTTAATGCTAAAGCCAACAAAAAAAGAGTTTATAATCTGTATGTGGAGCCATATGTAAAGGAAAGGCAGAGGAATGAGGAAGAGAATGTAAGGCTCAGCTTTTTTAAAATTAAGAATAATTTTTAGCCTTAAAAGTTAAGGGGGTGGGGGAGAAATGGCAAGAAGGAAATAAAATCTAAAACTAAATTCAATTCCCTTTTTGATGGCATAATGAGAATGACAGGGCATGGAAACAGACCAAATGGTTTACTTGGATTTCAGCAAAGCTTCTGATAAATTACTATTAGCTAATAGTAATTAAGTGGTGTTGAACGATTCATACATTACAGAGAACATTTAGACATGTTATTGGTTCAATGGATTGATATTGACCCTAACATGGACTACAGCAGCTTCAGACAGGACTTTGCCCTGGCCCTCTCCTGTTGTCATTTTTATCAATAAGGGTATGAAATTAAATATTTTGAACTTGTTGATGTCATTAAGTGAGGCAGAATGGCAACTGTACAATGTGATAGAATTAGGGCCCAATATTTTTAAACAGATAGGAATAATGGTGTCAGTCTAGGAAGACAAAGTCTAATACCAGACCTTACCCTTATCTTAAAGAGCAGAAGTGTACACACTGTATGAGAAATTAAGGTGTTGCTCAGTTTAAAATCGTACTTTTAATGAAGGTAATGGTAAATGCATTGAGCTATTATAAAGCTCATTCACTAATCCTCAGAATCACACTTCAAAGTAGGCATTATCTCCAGTTTAAGGTGAAGAAACAGGGTGAGTTAACTTGCCACAGTTCTCACAAGAAGTTTAAACTAAAATTAAATTTGTCTAATCCTGACATTCATGGGCTAAGGCTGCACACTGCTTCAACATCTAAGTTAATATGTGAGCTCATTTGATTACTAACTCCCTATGTACTGTGGTTGCATTTTCCGTAATATTTTAATTCTTGGTGCTATTTCAAAATGAAATTTTCTTTTATAAACGGAGGAGAAAAGGTCATCTTTTGGTAAGCAGTTTCATGCAATTAAGTATAAACTAATTTACTTCAAACATTCAAATCTTTCCAGTGTGGCATAAAGCAAACGTTGGCAAACTACGGTCTGCAGGCCGAGTCCAGCCCACCTCCTATTTTTGCTCAGTTCACAAACTAAGAATGACACTTAACATTTCTAAATGGTTGAAAAAAATCGAGAGGGAATTTTATGACACATAAAAATTATATGAAATTCAAATTTTAGTGTCCATAAATAAAATTTTATTAGAACACAGCCATGTTCATTCATTTACATATTGACTATGGCTGCTTTCATGCTACAAAGGCAGAGTTGAATTAATTGTGACAGTAACCATATGTGGTGCTTTCATTGTTTTGCACTGCTATTCAACATGCTACAAATCTCAGTGATGGCTATAAAACTCAACAGCATTTCAAGTGTCATACATATTGTCATACAGACATTTTATTTTTTATCACCAGTGCATATACATCATGTCAAAAAAAGTTTTAAAAAGTGGACTTTGAGTGTTGCACTTTTAAGGCACAGTGGAGTGTGAATTGTCGTACAACTATATCGCAAAGCATTGTGTTTATTATGCAATGACACTTTCACTGTGCTAAAAAAATATATTTGCAGACTAAGCACTCATCACAATATTCCCAACCCACAGGAAATCAACAGTTAGAACAATCAGAAAACTTAAAATGTAGTATCTTATCACAGCATAATCTACTAATTTAAAAAATTAGAATAAGGGTGTAACCAAAGTAACTTTCTGAGTGGCTCATTTGTTAGCCAAGCAAAGACAGCTATATACTGATGGTGAGTTAGAGTTAATTCAATTGTGTTTGATTGTAGCAACCAGAGAGTGGGCCCAGAGAAAAACTTCTTCAACAGTACGAGCTTTTCACCAAGAATACTTGCTTGGAGACATGAGGACACTGTGGCAACACCAACAGTCAATTAAAAAACAAGGCAAATGATTTCAAGTAGCTTTGCTTTGCTTTGCTTTTGGTGAGTCAACAGATGTTACCAATACTGCCCAGCTGTATACTTGAGAAGTCAATGCTGAGTTTGAAGTGACTCAAGAACTAGCCTTTATGAATAGTCTGCATACAATAACTATAGGAAAGAATATTTCAAAGAAGTCGAGAAAACACCAATTTAGTACAACCTGAAGTAGAATCTGCTAAGATGTGTTGCAATTCATGGTGGTAAAAATGTGTGACGTGGCAAAAAAATGCATAGTTGAATAAATTAGTCAATGGTTACATGCTGCATTATTCATCAGCAGGTATTTGTGGGAAATATTTAAATATATCATGTCATCAAACTAGTAAAGTCAATGGTAAATTTTATTCACTTGTGATCTTAATCATCATTGGTTCCATTTGGTTTTGTCAGAAATAGAAGTTCAGTATTCTGACTTGCCCAATTACATAGCGGTTTGATGGCGGCAGTAAAGTTTTTTGGTTTTGTTTGTTAGACACAGGATCTCACTCTGTCGCCCACGCTAGAGTGCAGCATCATAATCATGGCTCGCTGCAGCCTCGACTCCTGGACTCAGGACATCCTCCCACCTCAGCCTCCTGGGTAGCTGGGACTGTGGGTGTATGCCACCATGCCTCACTAATTTTTTTTAGAGATGGGGTTTTGCCATGTTGCCCAGGTTGGAACGGTAGTTTTATTGTAACTTTTTAAGCTCAGAACCAAGACTGAAATTGTTATGAATGAGGAGAACCACCCTCAAACTATTTTCAAACACTGAATAGCTTTGGAAATTACTTTTGCTGCAAACTTAATAATGCTTTTTAATAAATTCAACCTACAATTACAAGGCAAAATGGCACTTATATGTGAAACATACTGTGACAAGGTCATTTTGATGGCAACTAATTTTGTTTAAATCACAAGTATTATCAAGCTGGCTTTATATATTTCCCATGCTTTCAAGATAAGAAGCAAGATCTCCATTCCCACACAAACCTGTAGTGAACATATTTTCCAAGTTCCACTATTGTTCAAGCTGCACTACTGGACCTTAATGCAAGTGCAAAGGAAATTTTTCTATTTCAATATTCATTTAAATATACAATTGAGCATCCACCTAACCTTCAATAGGAAGTGATTAATATGCAATGTAATGACAGCTAAAAGGCAAATAACAATAGCAAAATCTAATAGAATTCTATAAATACCTTCCAAATGATGAATATGATCAATTAAAATTACACACTCAATCACAACTGATAACAGTACACGGATGTATCTATTTGAGTGAGAAGACGTTTTCAAAGATGAAATACAAAAAATCACATTATAGGCCAGCATTAACAAATGAATACTTGCAATTAATTTTGAACCCCAATTTAGTGAGATATTATCCCCTCAAAATCACTTGATTCTTATCATTAGTAGCCCTGTATCACAAAAAAAATTAAAGTATTAACATATTTTGAATTTTATCAATAAAATATATGCGAAAAGTTTTCTTTCTCATTACTTAAATATATAAAAGCCTCAATTTTGCCTTTTGGCTCACAAAGCTAAACTTTGCCAAAAAAGTTTCCAACCCCTAGTCTGCAGAAGTGCCAGAGCATCTGTCCATTTAAGTGAAATCAAAGTATAAGTATCCCAATAAACAACTGGTCTAACAAAACCATTTTTATATCCCAGTAATATTACCTGATCATCCTTCTATATATAGTCCTTTCTTTGGTTATGATCCATGTAGTCTTATGAACAAGTAAATGTCCTAAGAAAATAATTTATATGGGTCTGTATTACAGCTAGGCAGAGAAGAAATTAGTTATCCCGAATATCAGCAAATCTTTATAATTGTATTTGCACTCTAGTAGAAAAAAATGTTCTTAACTCTTCTCAACCAGTTCCATCACCAATGTGTCTCCTCAAGGTTAAACCATGACTCAGGCTCAGCCACTGGGAGAACAATATTCCCTTGTCCATAGTAATTGGCTCAGGGGTGGGCACATCAACCAATAAGGGAATGTCAGTCTTAGGCTTCTGTTGGAGCTATTGAGAAAAATGGCCCTTTGTTTTTTGTTTTGCTGAGAATACTAAGATGGTGGATGGCCACTTTACCATGACACATAGAAAGTCTTCCTGATAGTGAAAACAGCAGGGTAGGAAAGCAAAACCAAAAGATATGGAGAAGATTCCTGTCTTAACTCCAGGATTAAGCATGTCTGAAGGCAGTCCTACCACTTGACTTTTCAGTTAAATGAGATAATGCACACTCTTATTGCTCAAGCCAGGTTAAATTTCTGTCACTTTCAATTCAAAGAGTTCTGACTAATGCAACTATATATTCATTCAGATTGAAATCCCCATCTTAAGTCAAATTTTTCTAAATAGAACCTTTACAGTTATGTGTCATCTCCAGATCTTTCTCCTGCTTCTGAAGGTCTCTGCTGCTTAATGGACACAATATTCACAGGCTGAGAGAGGGCTGCTTTGCCTTATCTTACCTGTAGCATCCCTCAGTAAGTAGCATACCATTAATGCCATTTTGTAAACTCCCGTAAAGCACCTAGCACAATGATGAACTATGAGATACTGTTAGAAATATGGGCTCCCCATCTGCAATGATTTTAAAGTCATTCACTTAAAACTGGAATAATGCTTAATTTCTGTGAACATCATAGTATGATTCCATTCTCAAAGAGGAAAAATGATTCTATTTCCCTTAATTTATCAGAAGATGTATTTAACTATTGCTCTATTAAACAGTTCAGAGAAGTATAATTTTTTTTTCAATATTAAAGAAAGCTTAGATCCTTTCTAGTGTGTGCTCTTTACCACTGGATTTCAAGAAAGCAAAACAAAACATAAACAAAATAACAAAAGCATATTCCTTTAGCTCTGCTTCTCATATATAACCAACTAAATAAAGCAAAATTTTAAAATTCCTATCTTAAATTAGGGAGTGACATTATTTTACCCATCATTAGAGGAAATGGGAAAGAGCAAGTTTAAAAAAACTACTTTTATTTTTTTTTTTATTTCTTTTTCAGTTACATACTTTTAAACAGGGATGTGTTTCATTATTCAGACATTCAGGCAATGTTGACTTCATTAGTGTTGACAGAAAATAAGCATAAAAATGCAAAACATTGTTGGCTTAACCTGAACATACCTGCATTACCTATTATTGACCAGTTTGTGTTGCCAAAAGACTTATTCCTTGGCATTAAAATGGAGCACTTAAAAATATTGCTAAAAAGCAAATGTCTACACACTGGTCTTTGCAGCAAATAAGGGTATTTATACTTTTAAAATATTTTAAGTCCATAATTGGATTAATATACACACCTTCTTATGTATAAGGAGTTCAGATCATATAAACACTGTACAATCCAAAAAACCCTACTGAGAATAAAACTAAATAGGCTTATGATAAGAAATACAGATATTCGCATGTATTTACAAATATCATAGACACACAAATTTGGTCAAATACTGTAAAGAAAGAAATGGTTTCACATTATAATTGCCAAAACATCCATCTACCTTGCTCAAAGCAAATAAAAATATAAACTCAGTATGTAACTCCTGCAGTTTAAGACATCATGACAGTATACAGATAGATAGAATGGAAACTGTTGACCAAATTATACAGCAAATGTTTTCTAGGTTAAGTGTAGGTCTTTAAAATAAAAAGAGATCATTCACAGGATTCATAGCAACAATGAAAAACAATGTCCTGATTTGTGGTGTTCATGTGGGTGCCTAATTCATCAAAAAAATGCATTAAACTTTTGGCTAATAAGAAAAATAAATTACAAAGTATAATTAAATCCCTGTAAATGCAATAATGAAGTAAAAAAAAGTAGATTTACTTTAATATACATCTTAAATGTTACCTTGAGACAATAAAAATAAATAAGCATGCCTGAAGGCACACACTTAAAGACAACGAAGAGACTGCATGGAAGGAGTAAGTAACAATTTTATAAATGAAAGATGAATATGAGATTTGTTCAAAATAATTATCCTTCTAGCCAGGCTTTGTTTTAACCCTTCTTGAAAATTCTGGCTAGCAGAATGTGACAAAACTACATGTGTGTCTTTATGGCTTAAAACAAAGCATACTTGAAAAGTGGAATGGGCTTCCTTTTTTACAGAATTAGTTTTTTTTTTTTTTGTTCATATGCAGGCACTTCAAAAGACTATGGAGGCAAAGCACCTGACCCATCGTTTCCAAAATATTTTTCAATCATCAAAATTATGCTAAAGAGTAGGAAAATTCCAGAGAATCAGCAAAGTTGAATACAAGAGACTAATGTGCACAGAGGGCATAGAGTGACCCACTTTTTATTGCTGGGGGTCTTTTTTTTTTATCAAAGAGCAAAATAATTACACAGACACCATTGCATGGCACATCCAAAGTTTTCTGCTTAGGGGAGAATGTAATCATTCAGCAGTAAGTTTCAGTGAGATTTCTTTAGGCTTCCACCTTACACACTGCAACAAGGTTCACATTTACTACCTCTCCTTAGTGTATTTCTTTGTAACTCCAACATATATCACTGTTTAAAGTATTCATTTCTTGCTGTCTAACATACATTATTATTTGGAAGCATAAAGTTACATTGTACAAATATTTTGCATTTTAAAAAATAAGCGTTTTTGCCACTTCTGCAACACAGTACTTCACATGGTGGTGCAACAAAAGCAGAGCACATATTTACCGCACTACTTAAGATTCATTTTACCACTACCATCTGCGGAACCCATATTGCTTTTTCCTCAGTACCTCTGGGCAGTGACTGTACCATGATTTCACAGAGAGAATGTTAATATGACTTATGAATAACAGTACCATCAGTAACACTGAAATCAATGCAGATGTCACAAAATATGAACTTCTCAAGGAATAACTTCTTTTAAATATTTGGACAACTCTGTTTTCTCTGTTGTATTATCCACTGAGAAAGAAAATTCCTGTTTGATTATGCCCTTACAGAAGTTATAAAAAACCAGATTAGGTATACAACTGGTTGACACTTAAGATACTGTATGCTTTCTGCAACAGAAGAACTTCTGAAAAATGTTCTATAGAACTATATTCATCGATACCACCTCATTGGTCCATTCCATTCACTGATGGGCAGAGCACTCATGTTTTGACAAAACTTTAAAGCTTCCATAAAAGTTCAATTAGAAAAAAAAAAAAAGAATGTAAGACAACCACAAAATGAAGTATGAAAGTATGACATTTTTGTTTCTAAGAGTGAGTCCTTGAAAATATATGTGGTCACTACAGAGATGATTTTAATCACAAGACAGCAGATGAACATGTAAGTAACTCCCCAGGATCTGTCTGTGTCCAGAGTCATTTGTGGCGCTGTATGGTTTTCCTTTTCCTTCGTTTGAAAAAACAGCAGCACCTGCAGATGAGGGAAACACTCTTTTTAGTTTAAAAGCACTAAAATGTCACAAAGTTGACTGTATCATATTAACTTAAATGATCATAAAAAGCAACAGTCTAGTGCAAGATATACAGTGATTACACCAATGAAGCGTAGGTATTAGTGAAAATATGGCAGAGTTATTACTATTATGTTTCATCCACATGCCTTTTAAGAATAGCAAGACATTCTATGCAACATAAAAAGGAGCCAATAAATTCAAAAGGTTTTTCACTAAGACTAACTGAGAATTTCATTCTATGCATTCTCACCCTTTATCCCGGATATTTATATGTGATTGTTGAAGCCATAAGGAAGGCAATAATGATCCTAACACTGGGGAGCTTATTCTTACCAATAATCAGTTTAGACTCCAAAAATAAAAAGATACTCCAATATACACTAGTCAACATTTTCCATCATATTAAAAAAGTGAAAAACAGAAAACACATTTTATAGAATGTCAAGACTGGCAATTTTAAATTCTTTAAGAGTTAAAGAAGGTCAAGTTTATTGAAAGTTTAGTTAAGGTAAAAACTATGCTTAATATTTAAAGTAGCACAACTGAGGTAATTCCATTGTACAAGTCAAAACTGCATATGCAAAACAATATAATCCTGACTTTTATTTCTAGGTGAAAAAAAATCTTGGCTGGGCACAGTGGCTCATGCCTGTAATCCCAGCACTTTGGGAGGCCAAGGCAGGAGGACTGCTTGAGCTCAGGAGTTTAAGAATTCAAGACTAGCCTGGGCAATACAGCAAGACCCCATCTCTAAATCTCTCTCTCTCTTTAACTATATATACACATACACAAGTATCTCTAAATATATATATACACACACACACACATGCTGGACATGGTGGCACCCGCCTGTTGTCCCAGCTCCTTGAGAGGCGGAGGCGGGAGGAATGTTTGAACTATGATTGTGCCACTGAATCCCAGTCTGTGTAACAGAACAAGACCCTGCCTCTAAAAGAAAAAGTTAAAAAAAAAAAAAAATCTAGATGTAATCCTTAAGAGAACTAGTTTCTCTCATAGTAAATTCTTCTAGTCATGAGGAGATGCAACACATCAAGGCTGCTGTGGGAAAATGCTGTGGTCTGGTATGAAATGAAAAATGAGAATCACTGATCTGCTCCCACCAAGAAAAAAAAGAAAAAAAAATTACATACACACCTATCTTAAAAGCCTCACAGTCTGAGTCAGTCTATTAGAATATACAACATGACAACACTACATATAGTTAGGCACCTTTTCTTTTAACCTTTAAACAGTCAACCCCTTCCTAACATTGAGTTTACTTTTGGTACAGACAAGCATGGTTGGGTATCCCTGATTTCCACTGAAACCCTCTGTGGGTGTGTGGGCATGTTTATAAATCACATTTTGTAATAAAAGCAAAGTATATTTATACACATGGTGATTTCATCACCGAGAGCTCCCAATTCAGACTGTGTATAATATGACCTTATAAAGATGTTTCTATAATTCTTACCAATCTATATTCATAAAAGAATAGCTTTGGCCCGGTGCGGTGGCTCATGCCTGTAATCCCAGCACTTTGGGAGGTCAAGGTGGGTGGATCACAAGGTCAGGAGTTCAAGACCAGCCTGACCAACATGGTGAAACCTTGTCTCTACTAAAAATACAAAAATTAGCTGGGCGTGGTGGTGGGCACCTGTAATCCCAGCTACTCAGGAGGCTGAGGCAGAAGAATCACTTGAACCCAGGAGGTGGAGGTTGCAGTGAGCCAAGACTGCACCATCGCACTCCAGCCTGGACAACAGAGTGAGACTCTGTCTCAAAAAAAAAAAAAAAATAGCTTCAGGTGTCCCATCCAGCAAAAGATTACAGAATATAACATAACTTCTAGATATGTTTTATATACTTCCGTGAAATAAATGTAAACAGAAATCTACACTGTCCAGTTAAATTACATAATCTCTCTACCCACATTATCTTTAGTCAAAAATAATTTTAAATTATTTATTGTGATTTCTGCCATAATTATGAAATGACTATGAGGGTACTGAAAACCAAATTACACAACTGCATTTTTTAAGTAAACCAAACAGTACACATCGACTAGACCATGGAATGTAAATAATAAAGATTCAACTAGAAATATATGTAATGATGAATGTTTATCAACTTTACTCTCATGGAGATGACTAGCAGAAAGAACGGAAATGGATTACCCAGTCAAGAGCCTAGAGAAGAGCTGCCACAGTACAAGACTACAGATGTAAGAGATTTGTTCTGGATTTAAAAAAATAAGTCAAATTTATTTTTAACTGTCAGCTACCTAATATTTCTCAAATCTCAATTACTTTCTAAAAAATAAAATCCTTTACTCCAAATGAACCTTTAAATTTAAGACTTAGAAAAGAGAAGAAAAATGTCCAAATGGCAGAAAGCAAGACATAAAATAGGTATTTAGACGTGGCAGAACAAATACTTAGAATATTAAATTTAAGTATATAGCCATATTTCAATTGAAATTTATTGTTTGATATAAAATTCCTTTAATAATGCTCACTATTCTTAAACACTGTCCTTTCAAATTCCAAATACATTCTTTCAAAGTTTTCTAAAGTTGTATTAGCCCTTTGAAATGGGTAATTTAATGTAATACACATTTTGATGAACAAGACCAAGTCCTAGATTTTCTAGACTTGTATCAGCAATTTACTTTGCTTAGTTTGTATTTCCAGTACTGAGAGTTCTGAGAGTTGAGATCTTCACACTTAAGTAATCTTTCCTTCAACAATGTTTTACCGAACTATGACAAGCACTTATTTGAAACTAAATAAGATTTTCAAATAAATTCTAATGGCCCTTAAATTCAAACACAATCTAAAAAGGATATCTATTTTAAATCAGATTTGCAAAAGTACAGCTGGCATGCTATTAAAGTTACTACCACCAGAGGACAGCATTGCCTTATGTGATACGAATACATCCAAACACATAGATAAGAGAGAGGTGCAAAAAATATGATATACTTACAGAAGTTAGGAAATAAATTGATGTTTTAACCTTATGGCTTATTTCTTAAGATAAAAGCAATTACCGAAATAGCTAATTTATAGCCTTAGAAATTAAGAAATCAGGTCTCATCTCAATTGCTTCCTTTTCCCCAGCACTTAATCTGAAACAGTGCTGCTCCCATGTAGCCACTTGATCACACTATTGTTTTATTTTTCTGTAATAACTTACTCTTACTTTGCAATTATTTTATTATCTGCCTTTGCACTAGAATTTAAGCTTCATAAAGGACTGCTCAGTTATAGCCCAACAAACTGGCACAAAGTTAGTACTTATTTAATAGTGGTCCTCTCACTTCAGCCTCCTGAGTAGCTGGGACTACAGGCACCCAGCTGGCAATTTTTTAAAAATTATTTTTAGTGGAGACAAGATCTCACTATGTTGCCCAGGCTGGTATCAAACTCCTGAGCTCAAGTAATCCTTCCACATCAGCCTCTCAAAATGTGAAGCTACATCTCTACACTAAAATTATTTGGGAATAAATGTTAAGTCCTAAGATGAACTTTAGAAACAACTTTAGTTTCTTTAAATACTATTAGGCAACAAACAGGCAATCAAAACGGATCAAAGTCCGAAAACACACAAAGGCTTTTGCTATTGACACCACACCACCATTTCTCCTTTGTTCATTGCCTTTTTCTTCATCTATTTGCCTTGTCTTCCTGGATATATGTCATATACTTTCTTCTCTCAAATCCACCCAGAAACTGAAGCATGTTTCCCTATCTGGATATGATGTTCTTATTTATCCCTTCTAAGATGACTCATTGCTCACGCTTTGGTTGAGAGACTGTTGGTACCTCCTAGACCTACCCACGTAGGACTCCAGGACCTAGCTTCTCCTGACCTGGGTTGATGAGTGTACAGAAAGTATCTTTTATGGCATCTAATCTTTAATTCTTTCACAAAGAATATTTCCCCTTAAGGTTTAAACCTGAAGTGTAATTTCGTATCTCTGGATCTCTTGATTTACAGAAAAAACGAGGAACCGTTTAGCTAAGCAAAAAGAGTTTAGATCAGAGAACAAGATCATCTACAAAATTACTCCACCCAAAAGCCTGCAGGCCCATTTTCATCTCCAACTTCTTCCTCCCTGTCCACTTGCAATTAGTCCCTTAAGTCTGAAATGACTTTCAAAATTTTCCCATCTTCTCATGTTGGCTTAGTTCAGAACTTTTCAACTTGCCGCCACCACTGCTAAGTGCCTTTTAAAGGACTTCCCAGTCTAAGTCTCTCCTCTCTCCAATCTGTCATCCAAATTGCCCCCATCATAAATAAGGCCATGCCCTTTTCCTCTTAAATCTCATCAATGATTCTACATTGACTAAAGCATTAGGTTCACACAGCTCTTCGGAATTTGGTTCCCAACTTATTTCCACCCTCCTCTTAGTCTCATTCTCCATTAGGCTTCCTTCCCAGGTGGCCTATACTATGGATGGAAGGAAGGGAAAAGTAAGAAGAAGCAAAAAATCTCCTTGCCATTCCCAGAATACGCCAAGTGGGATTTCTTACCTCTGTATCTTTGCATATGCTCTTCTTTCCACTTAAAATCCATTTGCTCTCTCCCAAAAGAGTGACACAGTCTCTGTCACTTTGTATTATAATTTTTATACCTCTCTCTTCCTCACTGAACTGATCTCTTGAGGAAACATATTATTCTTTACTTATCTTTACAGTTCTAGAGACTACCAAACTCCTGAACACTCAGTATTACAGAAACTAAACAAATGGTCCCATACTGTAATCTTAAAACATTTTTTAAGGAACAGTTTGTTTACTACAGACTACTAACCCAAAATATAAATTCTCCATCTAGTTTCACAGGAAAACTTAATTTATATTCTTAAACCATTTTCTGCAATCTGTTGAACCCCAGGAAGTGACATAAGCCTCATAACTGCAGCCAAATTAATTTTCCTAAGGATCAACCTGATCATAGTTTCTTGGCTTAAAACCACATGTCATTTCTTGGCTTCCTTTCTTTTGCTGAGAAAGATAATGTCCAAATTTGTTTACTGGCTACCAAGGCCCTTTGAGATTTGGGAAATTAGCCTATCTCAATTTTCATTAATGTGTTCATATATTCTCTGCCTGCATGAGTTACTCCTTGGACTGGTTCAATTCTTTCCTTGCTCCAACCTCTTCTCCCTGACTCCTTCCACCCATTTCCCTTGCCAAATCATTCTCATCTTTCAGAACTAGTGTAAATGCATCCTTACCCATGAGGACTTCTCTGATCTTCCCAACTAGGAGGACATACTCCATTTTCTGACCTCCAGTAACAATTATCCCTCACCTACATGATTAGCAATCGTGTAATACTTTGTATTAGACCAATGATCCTTAACACTGGCTGCTCCTTAGAGTCACCTGAGAAGTTTTTTAAAAATACTGATAACCAAGCCCCACCATAGACCAACTAGTAAAATCAGAAACCTTGAAAATACAGCCCAAATTATTAGTACATTTTTAAAACTCCCTAGGTAACTATAATGTGAAATCAAGGTTGAGAACCATTGTATAAAAGTTGTTGGTATACATTCCATCCAACCTAATGGTATACAAACTTTGACATACCTTAATAATCATCATATTATCAAACACACGATAATCTGTTCAGTAAATGTTGGAAGACGGAAAGAAAGAAAAAGAATAAAAGACGGTTTCATACTACTTAAAAAGTAAATACTTAAACTATTTTGTTCTCCTAGATACCTGGAATGAATGATGAAGGTGCTATCATTTGTATCACCTGTCTTAAAATTCTCAACTACAGTAAACAAGAAAGACAAAACCTCATTACTAATGAAGCTAATTAGCTTTCCCATCATTTTCCATATGGGAGAAAGAGTATTTTCCATCATTTGGAAATCAAATATTTACCCCAATGAGGTACTATTCTCAGGAAACATGAGGATGCTAAAATGTGCATTATAGAATACATTCTACTTAATGGGGTGGGGTGAGAAGGATCTCTGCTAATTATAGGTAAGACAAAAGATGAAAAAGAAATTCTGAAAGAGAATTCTAAGCACGTCCCTAGTTCTGTGTCAAATGGTGGCAGACAGAAGTGTAAGATGCAATTTAGAAAAGGAGCTGGGTATGGTGGTGTGCACCTATAGTCCCACCTACTGGGGAGTCTGAGGCAGGAAAATCACTTGAGCCCAGTAGTTCAAGGCCAGCCTTGGCAATATAGCAAGATTCCTATCTCTTAAAAAAGAAAAAAAATCATGCCCAAATTTCTTAGTCACAGATTAAGAGGAGATGAGGAACACAATAATAAACCTGTAGAAATGTCAGAATAAACCTAAAGAAAAAAATCTTGTTTAAATAGAATGTTTATCCAGCAAAGAGGTAGGAAAGTTCTGAGGATTTCTGTAACCTACCTAACCCACCTGATGTAAGGCTTCACTGATATCATGAGTTGCTATACTTTTTTTAAAACAACCATTTTATTAAGATATTTTTCACGTTATAAAATTTATCCTTTCAAAGTATATAATTCAGTGTGTTTTAGTATTCACAATTGAGCAGCTATCACCACTATCTAATTTCAGAACATTTCCATCACTCTATAAAGATATCCCATCCTCCTCTTCCCTGCCCTGGGCAATCACCAATCTTTTGGTGCCTATATATTTGCCTATTCTGGACATTTCATTTAAATGGATTCACATAACATGTGGCCTTTTGTATCTGGCTTCTTTCATTTAGTACAATGTTTTCAATTTCATTTCTTTATATTGTCAAATGGCAGTCCATTGTATGGGTATACCACATTGTTAATTATTTAGTAATGATTTATTAGGACATACAGCCACTAGGAATCTGAGGATGAAAAAAATCCTTGTTTTCAAGAAATTCAGTAAGTTTCAAGAAGTGGGAAGTATATAAAGAGGATAACATAGCAAAGGCAGATTTAAGGAACCAATGCTATATAAAGTTCAGAATGGAAAACGGAGTTGCAAAGATAGGCAGGGGCCAGACTATGACAGGTACGAGAGGCCTTGATGCCATGCCAAGAAATATGGCAGGCAATGGAGAACGCTTCCTATAGGAACAGCCTTCCCACCACTTCCTTTTTTCACATCCTCCAGTGTCTACAGATAGGGACCCAAACACACACCCACACTCATCCCAACTGCATAAATTACTATGCCATTCTTCAGAGCCACTTTCCATCAAGTATTCTCTGATCATCCATGTCAGCAAGTAATCTTTATCTTTACAACCTCTAACCATTTTTAAAAATACCTTTTTCATCATATTAATCATATACCGACATATACTAGTACAACTGCAATCTTCCTGCTGGCTTGTACTTAAGAACAAGGACAGTATTAGGTATTTCGGAAACCTCAGCAGTGTAACTGCTAAATGAATAAATGGATAAATTTAATAAATTTGATTAAAAGCAAGTCTCCAGGAGGATGTAAACACAGAACCGCTAGTTTCAGTGAAGAGTGTGGGTATGGAAGTAAAAATATAGAACACAGATAAAAGAGGCACAAGCCCAAAAACAGAGATGAGAAATGTCACTGGCAGCTGGAAGAGAAGAAATAAACAGGGGTAATAATAGCTATTGAGTACCTGCCGTGTGCCAGACAAAACACCAGGGCTTTATCACATTTAATTTTCTCAACCTATGAAATAGGTATTATTAGCCTCATTTTACAGAAAAAGAAACAAGCTTTCTTGAAGGTAACAAATCAGTGGCAGAAACAGGATTCTACAAACTATGTTTAAATGCAAAGGACATGTGCAGTCGAATCTGTCACACCACCACCCTACTTTCCTGTCTTAGGATTGTACCTAAAATTCACAAAGATAAGCTGTTGTTTTTATCTCTGATTTAAAAACACACAAGTAAGACTATACTTTCAGGGATTTATTTCTGCGGTTCATAAAAATATACAAGTATACAGCTAATTAAATCTTGAAATACACTAGTCTTAGTCACACTGTCAATACATTCTATAGTCAAAAGTGATTAAAATGGATTCTTAATCACTGCTCTTTAAGAAAAAAATCCACGAAAGTTTCCTAATTTTGCAGCCAGCAAATGAGCATTATTTTGAAAATTATATAAGGTGTCTTTGGATATAAGTAAAATATTTCAAAATTTACTAAACTAAGCAACGTCCTTTATTCACTCCCAGTCTGACTCAAAATTTGTCCTGAAACTGACAGAAGCATTTTAAGCACAGTATTACAACTAAAGGCAAATGTCAGAAAATAATTTAAATCCCCAATTATTTCTATTAATACTACTTTCCATAATATCTGCAATTATTAGTAACTATTTAGATGAGGATTTTTAAAATGGCTTTCTCACTACAAGGTTATCATGAAATTTATCAATATTGTATTCAAGGGCAATGATAACTGGTTAGTAAATGAAATACCGTTTTAGTGATACTACTGTGGGGGATGAGATCTGCTACATGTATTTAACAATTGCAAACAGAAAAAAGAAAGCTTAATGCAAAAATCTATCTATTTAAACAGCAAATAAAAACTATTATAAAACAAATGCACAAGCACAAGCAGGGTTGGTGTATCATCTATGCAATTAAAAAGTGGCCCCAAATCTATGTCACTTAAAGTAAAAAAGTTGCAGCAGGCAAAAGAGCTCCTCAAACAATTATTTCTTGCTTTTTCTGAGCTATCTTAATGATATCAAATACTTTTGAATAACTTTTACCAATTATAATTGCTGTGTTGAGAGTTTTGTTTTCAAAATACACAAAATGATGCTAAATATTTGAAATTACAGTCAACGGAGCTATTTCTGCCTGCCTACACTTGAGACTCACCACATGTTCAACACTTTCTGGCAGCTATACACACACAAAAAAAAATACAAGGAAAAAAAAGAGAGACAGAGAGAGAGAATCAGAAACAGCCCACATTGAAATTATCACATTGTTTTTCATACTTAATTTTTTCCAAGCAATGTTGTTATAATTTATGTTTTGAAAAACTAATTCAAAATATTAAAACATGCATTTTATAAAGTTAATATTTACTCTTATGCTTACAGAAAAAAGACTGATAGTACATCAATAACTTCCATGCATCAACACTCCTAAAACTCAAAAGCTAAAAATAACGCTGTCAATTCTAAATAAGAATTTGAACACAGTTCTTAAATATTTTGTATTATTAAAATATTTACTGGAATAGAACTGTTTTAAACTTATTTTAGTGATTAAAATAATTAAGTATACCACTTGTTTTGCATGCACCTCTTCCCTAAAAAAAATTTCCTGAAATAATTGTATGTAACTATAAATCTCAAACATGCATAATTTAAAAACAGAGAATTACTAAAACAAGTAAAATAAACACATACTTGGTTTCATCCATCACTTCTACTTCAGTAGGGGCTGTGATGGGTGCATTTGAACGTCCTGCGGTGGGGTCATCTGTGTTTAACTCTCCATTTGTAGAACTTACAACCTGTTTAAAAAAATTTTTTATATATATACATATGTACACACACTCATAAATATACATACATACTAAATAGGTTATACAAGGATAAACATAATTAAGGTTAAAGTATTTCAATTAGAAAGTTAATGTGAGGAACAAAACAATAGGTAGCAACATGTTCATAACTAAATACAGTAATAGGTCTAGTATTGTATTAAAGATCAAGGTCATCTAATACGTGCTTTTCAACTTACTTCCTTTCCTTTTCGAAATCTCTGTCTTCTGTCTCCTTCCCTCTGGTTTTTAAGGCTAACTCCTACATGTATGTCTCAATCAGTTTCCTCTTGTGTGCCTATGTCCTTTGGCACCTTGCTATATCATGAATTACTTTCCTTGAATATTGAAAAACTTCAATATTACTCCTTCTAATGGACCCTTCACTTCAATCTGCAATTATGCTCAAGTCTCCATTTCAAACCGCCCGTTTAAATAGACAACACCATCATTCACCCAGTTGTTCAAATGTAGGGGTCACTGTGATTCCTCTTTAACTTAAAACCCACATCTAATCCATCAATGGCAGATCCTGTTAAATCCTTCTCCAAACATATCCCATATCTAATCAGTTCTTACCATCTCTATTAATACAAGGACTCCAGTCCAAGCCACTATGATATCTTATGTGATTAAGAGCAAAAACCTATTATCTAGTCTTCTGCTTTGTCCCCCACTCAAAAGTATTGTCCACACAGCAATCAGGGTGCTCCTTTTAACATGCAAATCACATCACATATAACTCCCTGCTTAAAACTCTCCAACTGTTGGCTTCCCGTTTCACTTAGAATAAAAAATCTATACTCCTTACACAAATTGACAAAGTCCCACATGATGTGATGCCTGCCTACCTCTCTGATCTCACATCACCTTCTCTGAAGCTCACTAGCCTCCATCCAGTATGTCAAGATTCTTCCCACTTACAGGCCTTGGCATTATCTATTGTCACTGCCTAGAATTCTCTTCCTACTTATTAGCTGACTTCTCATCTTTCAGATTCTCAAAGAGCATCTCTGAGACAGGCCTTTTCTATCACACAGCTAAAAATGTCTATGCTGACACAGTCTTTTATGTTACACCCTATTTTAAATTATCTGTACAGTATTTATCAGTGTTTGTGTTTTTCTTATCCGCTTGCTCATTTATTTGTTGTATTTCTTGACATCCGTCCCTACCTCCATTAAAATTAAGCTCCAGGGCAACAGAGACCTTGTATTGTTTCCTGCTACGCCTGGCACAGAATAGGCACTCAATAAATATTTGTTGAAATAAATGAACGCATGTACGCATCAATGAAATCCTGAAACAAGATAAAAATCATGCGGAAATTCCCAAATTCTCCCAAATTCTCTTGTTTCCGCAAATTCACCTTATTGTCCTATTTCTTCCTTTTCCCTCATCACTAAACTTTTTGGAAAAAAAGTATATAACTCACCACTTCCATTTTTAAAAAATTTTCCATGTGTTTATTCCTTTACTCCTTGCAATCAGTTCTCCAACCCTACATAAGAACCCTAATAAGAGTTATCTTAAAGGTTACCAAAGATTCCTAGAAAATGTATTCAGGATACTCTGCTCGGTGCCTCATTTTCTTGTACATCACATCAACTCACTTGACAATCGCTGAAAATTCTGAAGTAAGTTGGGTCTAGACTCAAAGCCTAGCTCTACCACTTACCAGCTATGAGACTCTGGGAAAGATACCTTACCTTGCTAAACCTTAGTGTTCTCAAGTATGAAATGGTGAACAGTAGCATCTAATTAACAAAGCTGACACGAGGGTGAGATGAGATCAATATATAAATGTCAACATATAAAGCACAGTGCCTGGCATATGGGAAGAGCTCAATAAATGGTCGCCATCATTATCACTACGTTTCATCTATAATCATGGCTTCACCTATCACCTCTAGGTAAAGGACTCCCTAGGCCTAACGACTCACCCATATCCTCAGTTTGCTAAGCCAAGTTTGGCACCTCAAACTCTGCATTTCTGAAGGAAAATTTATCCTACTCCCTCTGAAATGTATTGCTCTTCCCACGGCTCCCATTTCAGTTAAAGCCCTCCCATCTTCTAGACTTCCAGACTCAAAAATCTAAGAATTCTCTTTGATGCCCCTCCTACTCACTACCTAATCTCTTTAAATGAAATAAAAGGTTAGCAACACTGGCATGGGCTACAGAGTTGACAACTGACTATTAGACTTAAAAGTAGTATTTATAGTACATTATATTTTTAAAACTTATTTAAGTTCTTACTTTAGTCTACAACATGCTAGGCACTGTTCTAGGTATTTGGAATATCAAAGTAAGCAAGATAAACATCCCTGTCCTTGTAGACCTGACACTTTAGTGTAGAGAAACAAGACCCTCTCCATTTCCAAGGAAAGTATTAATAACTACAAATCAACCAACATATTTGAGTTAACTTAAGAATAGTGGAAATTCAGTTTCCTATATCCTATATGGAGTAAGTACTTAGAAATGAACACTGCATTTGTGCCTACAGCTGAAAACACACAAAACTGCCTTGATAATCTTCAAAGGCAATCTAAAGAAAAGAATACTCTTACATCTAAGCATGCCTCTCCTTTTCTGGGGTACTTGCTTCCTCCTTTCTGTCATTCTATTGAGTTGTAAATTTTTTCTCTTTATTTCTCTCTCTCTGAAAACATTTAAAAATAATTATCTGTTCTAATTATTGAACATAATTTGGTTCTTTATTCTTAATTTTGAAAATGTCAGAGCCTCTGCACTAAATTGGAAAGGAGATAGAAAGCAGTATTCTTATCTCACATATTCTCCACTACCTTGAACAGAGTACATGTATCCAGTACATAATCAAACAGTTCACTGAACAATTTCCACTGCTCTTTTCTCAACATACTATTCAACAGGTTTCTTAGTCTCCCTTTTGTTCAATGGCCCTAGAAAGGTAGAGGGATGCCACCTCAACTTACAGGCAGCGCCTCTGACACGTCTTCCCTTATTTTAAGCAACATAACTGAAAATTTTAAAACCCAGGTAGTCTAAATTCTAGCAACATTAATTACAACACATTTTCTAGCAACAGTGACTATATATACACTGCAATTATATAATCTGATTTACTTCAGTTCACAGAGGAAGACTTTTTATACCTGACTTTGGTAAACTTTATTTTATTGAAATGTTTCAAATCCCATTTTACCTGGTTGACCAGAACCAGACCAGAAAGAAGCAACATCTTCCTTTAATGTAAATATTCCAGGGTTTCCCAGATTCCCCAATCCTCTGAGTAGAGACTAGTATCCCAAGCTCAGAATAGAATCACTGTGGTAACAGAGTTAAGATAGGATATTGTTGTTGACCTTCATAAAACTGGCCTATTTAACACCAGTGACTTGAGACTGTATCATGGCATTAAAAGTATTTTCACTTAAAATTTGTGCCTTTTTGCAAAAGGGTTTTACAAAGAAGTAATGAAGATATAATACTGTAAATAATATATCATTATATTCCTGGAAGGCTAAAACAATCAAATATGTACAAATTTTTTTATAAGCCAAATTCTAAAGAACAATTCTATTTAAGTGACATTTCTAGAATTATAACTTGAACTAGAAGATGAGTCTCTGAAATACTAGTGTACATCAGGCTGATTTCTTAAAAGTATATAAAAATGGCAGATATTCTGAGGTTTCACATTTCAAAAAATAATTCAGGCATTATACAGGATTGTTGTTGTTCTTAAAAAAAAATTTCCTCTGACATTCCCAATTTGACAAGAAACTTACTACGGTTCTTATTTTAAGAAGATTAAAAAAAAAAAGGCAACTAGACTCCAGTTTTACCGTCAGAATTTAAGAGGGATATTGGAGAAAGAGCTCACAAGCAAGTCTGAGACATAATCATAAACTTAACAGATGCCTGACAAATCCAATTCCAAAAGATGTTATTCTTATAGACTTTATAGAGTACAGACATAACACGTAGTATCTTTATTGTCAATGATTTTTAAAAGCCAATTAATGTACTTTCCAAATATAATGAATTCATACACATTAGTTATACTACTGTCTTCCTAATTGCCTTTTTTTTTTTTTTTTGAGATGGCGTCTCATTCTGTCACCCAGGCTGAAGTGCAGTGGCACAATCTTGGCTCATTGCAACCTCCGCCTCCCGGGTTCAAGCGATTCGCCTACCTCAGCCTCCCAAGTAGCTGGGATTACAGGTGTGCACCACCATGCCCGGCTAATTTTTGTATTTTTAGTAGAGATGGGGTTTCATCATGTTGGCCAGGCTGATCTTGAACTCCTGACCTCAAGTGATCACCTGCCTCAGCCTCCCAAAGTGCTGGGATTACAGGCATAAGCCACCACGCCCCGCCTGTCTTCCTATTTGATATCCTGTAAGCAAGATTACCAAGTAGAGCCTTGATACAATGTATGAATTTACCAAATATATTAATTAGCCAAATTCTCATCTATCCAATCATCTATTAGAAATTCTAAAACATTATATATTTATGTATTCAGCTTTTTTAAAAGGCATCTATAAGAAAGTACACTAATGAGATATATTAATAGTTAAAAGAGTGACTTCAAATAATTTCCTGAACCTGTGTTACAGTATACATACACTATATGAAACCAACTTCTTTACATATCCTAAAGACTAAAGGCATAATTGGTATTCTTCGTATTGCAAAAGATGACGCTAAAGCACAGTGACATGCTCACAAACTTTCAACAAAGATAAGCCAAAATGGATTTTCAATTAACTCCCACTCAGGATCATTATTTTCCTTGATCATCCCAGTCTTCAGAGATGTTACTGTAAATATTAATGCAAAAAAAAAAAATCATAATACTGATTTACCCCAATGATAATAGATAAGGAATTTCCTAAACTAGATCAAAGGAGATGAACTACAATTTATGTAATAAAGGCATATAACTATACTCCTTCCACAACCTCTCTTTTGCAGA